AGGTTGACACGATTGGAATGCGCAAATTAACTCATGACGACAGGGCTAGATACTTTGTCATGTGTTTCTTGTCCTTTCTTTTTGGTTTCTTTGCAGACACATCACTAGCCAATGATTCCTGTTTTCTTTTTTCTAGCTTCTTCTTGCCCGAATTCTGAAAAAGAGATTTCGTAACAGGTAAAGCAAGATGTTGCCTTATTAACACTAGTCCCCAGAAGCGAAAATATGTATCAGGTTGTAGGCTTCCGCATGACTCTTTCTTCAACGAAAAAGCATTCCTTTTTTGACGTGAGCACCAGAAGCGGTAATCTACGCAATGACTATCTTAGACCCCAAAACCAGATTAGAGTTTTGCAACGCACGGAAATTATCATCTAGGGCACCTTAGCATACACAGCACAGACCATTATGCAGCGCTTGCAAAACAAGATTTGTAGTTTAACTAGTCAACAAACTCTTATTTCTTCACAATTTCACACACTGTGAAAAGAAAAGAACCGCATTTTCATGTTCACAATGAGATCTAGCTTACAAATTACTGTGGACTCACAAGTTACGTCGCGAACCCTCACCCCGCCCCTTCTCCCTCTTCTTGATAACGAGATGTTCAGTTTCTAAACAGAGAAACTCGCACCTATGAGACGTTTCAGAGCTAACAGATTCTAGGTCCCAAAAAGAAACTTAGGAGCCCTTTAGAAAGATCACAATGATTGCGAACATTAGAAAAACACATTTTCACATTCCGCACTATTGAAGCAACGTTAAAAGTTACTAATAAATATATAAGACTTGCAGCAGATAGCAACTTGTGTAGCTTGCTGTCGCACTCTTGTTATCGCAACTAGCACTGATTGTAAAACGCGAGATCGGTTTAAATACATTTGTAGAATGCAACTCCAACTGAATAACACATCATAAATGTTCTAATGAATTCAATTAAAATCACAAAACGGGTAAAGATCAACTGCTTCTACCCTGATGTTCGATCAAAATTTATTCAAAAC